TAGTTAACATTAGAATCTGTTCAGATTGCTCTCTTCCTTCTGGTGAGAAACAGAAGCTGTGGGGCTTGGGTCCCTAGCGAATATTAATCCGACACTTTGTCTTTTAATGTCTCTTTCCATGAACAGACTGTACCATCTCCAAACCTGACGTCCTATCACCGACTGCGCAGGAGGAAGAACCAGGTGTCAGGGTGCAGGGAGATCTGGAGGGGAGAGGAACCCCTGTGGATCCCAGCACTGGTGAGTAATAGATCTGAAACGGATAGTGCTGTGTCAATTGACTAATTATATCTTCAGATTAAAAGATCACTAGCCAACAGTTTGCTTTCTTTAATCTTTGTAAACTTACCAGACGAAGGACTAAACTCTCTCTAAGAACTTGCACAGTGCTCCTCACTGTGGTATCTGTGTATTTACCTGGTATCTGACCTTCCACTTAAACTTTCTTTTTGTGTAAACATATATATGATGTGGTTTCAATGCTCCTGGAAGAGGCTAAATTGACAGCCCAGGACTCCACATTTGTCCTGTTTATTCATTTTATTTACTTAGCTAAAAATCGGATAAACCCTTTGGTAGCTCCTATTGTTTCCAACACGATCCCCTTGCCCGTGGATTTCTGTTGTCCTTGCCTGTGAGAGCTGTCACTCTTGGGATCTCCACCGATTTCATTCCCAGCCGGCTCTGAATCTAACCCTCTGTGTTCTCAGCATTCTGGGCATTCCGCACATCTGGACCCTACAGTTTCCCTTTGTCCCATCTGGATGTCCATGCCCATGCCCATGCGGCGCATGCCTCACCCCAGCAAAGGTCTGAGATCCAGTTTTAATTTCTCAGAGACAATTTAAAAAACAAAGCAATGTTTCTCCTATGTGTAAACAACAGCATTTTACATGTATAAAGGGCCTTTCATCCAACAGCCGTCACAAACTACATGTGCACAGCACCACTGAAATGCAGCCACCTCTGGCTGGAATGCCATAACGACCACGTTGCATGCTGTACAGAAGTAGTAGAAAGAGGATACTTGGGCTAAGGATGAGTACCCCTGAGGAATGTGTCTGAGCTCCTACTATCTCCAGAGAGCACCTCTATTTTTAAGGTCTTCTCTGAAATACCTTCCCCAGCACCCACCCACCCACATTGTAAACAGCATGTGACTCCATTTCTCTGTCTGAGAAGGATTAAGAGCTCAGTTGACTCTCCTGGGATTTGAACCTGTGGTTCCAGAGTGTTTGGGTATTTCAGATCTGATGCTAAGCCATCGCCTCTCATATGAGCTCACAGGAATGAGTGTGATAGAAGGAGCTAGTTAACATGGCCAAAAAGGCATGAATAAACAATGTCCAAAGCTGAAGGAATGTACCTGATACCAAAGCAGCCCACGGTTTGCAGTCTGTTATAAAGTGTTCAGTGGTTTCTGTGGCTTAGTGGATCAGATTCAGGACTAGGACTCGGGAGGCTGGAATTCTCTTCCTGGTACACCGCTGCCTTGCTTTGTGGCCTGAGGCAAGCCAGGTCAGCCTCCTGGTGCCTTCGAAGTGGACGTGTCTGAGAGAGGATAATAATGTGTACCCATCTTGGTACAGCATTTTGAGCTTTCTGCATGAAAAATAATATGCAAGTATTACTGTTAGTCTGGAGAAGAGAAGACTGAGAGGGGACATAACAGTTTTCAAGTACATAAAAGGTTGTTACAAGGAGGAGGGAGAAAAATTGTTCTTCTTAACCTCTGAGGACAGGCCAAGAAGCAATGGGCTTAAATTGCAGCAAGGGAGGTTTAGGCTGAACATTAGCAAAAACTTCCTGTCAGGGTGGTTAAGCACTGGAATAAATTGCCTAGGGAGGTTGTGGAATCTCAGTCATTGGAGATTTTTAAGAGCAGGTTGGACAAACACCTGTCAGGGCTGGTCTAGATAATACTTAGCCCTGCCATGAGTGCAGGGGACTGGACTAGACGACCTTGAGATCCCTTCCAGTCCTATGATTCTGTGAAGCGTTCTAATTGCATTAGAAAAGTATATACAAATCTGTGTTTGCACAGAACCTAGCAGGATGGGGGCTTGGGCTGTGACCGGGCTGCTAAGCAATACAGCAATAAAATAACTCTATTTACATGAACAGACTCTCCAGTTTCGACACCTGACGTTTTATCCCAGGTTAAACTAGAGGAGGGGTCGTGCAGCAGAGTTCAGCAAGAATTGGAAGAGCGAGAAATCCCTGCGGATCCCAGCCTGTGTGAGTTATAGAGTAATAGACTTTCGTAAACTGGGAGAGACGTTAAATGAGAGTGTCCAGCAAATCTGTTGTGGGTATCACACTGAGCAGGTGTGTGTGTGGGGGGGAATAGTTAGCACTTCCACAGCTCTGCTTTTATCCATAGGGACTTGGAAAATGCCATTGTTCCCGTTTTACAGACTGGGAGACTGAAGCACAAACGTGACTTGCCCGAGGTCACGCAGAGTCAGTGATCAGAAGACTGGGGTGTCTGCCAGCTCCGAAATGTCAGCCCTGTGCCTTGGCCTGACCCATGTGATGTTATTGAGCAGTGCTGGGCTCTGGACTGGAGAAGGGGAACATTGAAACTGTCACTGTAGTATATCTGCTGCCCCTGTGGATCTGGCTGGTTGGGTAATTCAGCACGCGTTTGGGTTAGGGCCAGCAGGTCATGGCGGTGTTGGTCCAGCTGCCAGCCCAAGCCCCTGGAGTAACTTCGTTAGCTGTCAGGAAGTAGGAAGCTCTTGTATTTGCTAGGCCCAGCGCAGGGGACATGATCACATGTAGTAAGCGAATACATTCCCAGTGGTTTCTTATGGCCCAAGTAGATGAAATGGGGGGAAATAAAACCAGTGCTGGATTCTGTTCTATTTTGTTGCAGCAGGTGATGGGCTTGTGATCAAAACGGAGGAGGGGACTGTCAGGGAAGGCCACAACAGCCCAGAGCCACGTGGAGTGCAACTGGGGACGTGCAGAGAGAGCGAGGGGCAGGCTCTTGAGTGGGGAGCACCCTGTGAGAGTCTGCCTGGCCCGGTGATGCATCTGGGGAGCGATCTGGGGCAGCCCAACGAATGCAGGGAGGGCCGGAATGAAATCGCTGAGCCCCAGGGCGTCGTTGCCGTCTCCCGGCTCTGCCAGCCCACGGAGAGGCCCTTTCATTGCCTGCAGTGTGGCAAGAGCTTCACCCGGAAAGACACCCTGCTGTCCCACCAGCGCACCCACACCGGGGAGCGGCCCTACGCCTGCGCTCAGTGCGGGAAGACCTTTGCACAGCAGTCCAAGCTCAGCAACCACCGCCGCACCCACACGGGCGAGCGGCCCTACGCCTGCAGCCAATGCGCCAAGACCTTCGGCCGCAAGGAGCACTACACCCAGCACCAGAGGATCCACACGGAGGAGCGGCCCTTCATCTGCAGCCAGTGCGGGAAGACCTTCCGCAGGTACTTCAACCTGACGGTGCACCAGCGCACCCACACTGGGGAGCGCCCCTACCCGTGCGCCCAGTGCGGCCGCCGCTTCAGCCGCAAGGAGCACTTCCTGCTGCACCAGCGCATCCACACCGGGGAGCGCCCCTACCAGTGCAGCCAGTGCAACAAAAGCTTCATCCACCAGTCGCGGCTCAACTACCACGCCCGCATCCACTCGGGGGAGCGGCCCTACGCCTGCGCCCAGTGTGCCAAGCGCTTTGCCGAACCCTCCAAGCTGGCGGTACATTGCCGCGTTCACACCGGCGAGCAGCCCTACTCCTGCCTCCAGTGCGGGAAGAGCTTCGGCCTGAAGAAAAGCCTCGTTGTCCACCAGCGGAGCCACGCTCAGGAGTGGCCCTACCAGTGCTCCGAGTGCGGTATCCACTTCATCTGCCAGTCCTACCTTGTCCGGCACCGGCTGGTCCACACCGGGGAGCGGCCCTACAAATGCACCGAGTGCGGCAAAAGCTACAGCCGCAAGGAGCACCTGCAGAACCATCGGCGTATCCACACCGGGGAGCGGCCCTTCCAGTGCACCGCTTGCGGGAAGAGCTTCATCCAGAAACATCACCTCCTGAAGCACCAGCGCATCCACACCGGGGAGCGCCCCTACCAGTGCGGGGAGTGCAGGAGGAGCTTCCGCTGCAAGGAGTCCCTGAAGGATCACGCCAGGGTTCACGGCACAGAGCTGGGTCACCTGCAGGCTGCGCCCAGTCCCAGGCAGGTATTGAAGATGGGCACCGTGGGGTGAGAATAAACCCTGGTGCTGATGGCAGCCCAGTGAACAGGCATTGAGAACAGCAGCACGGCAACGCAACAGGAAACGGACAAGCCCCAAGCACCTGTCTGTCCCTACGCCCCAGGGGAAATTGCACAGTCCATGAGAACCTGTGTGCGCTCCCGCCTGTCTCAGCCGTGCGGCTTGACAAAGAGCACTCGCCGCGTGGATGTGAGGGAGCGTGGCCGCGTCTTTAAACCAGAAAGCGAGAGCAGTCTTACCCGCAGGCTGTTTGTGCAGAGGAAGTATCGGCCAAGGGAATGTGGGCTGCCGGGCCGCTTTTTTGATACAGGAAAACAACTCCTATTGCTTTACGTTTATAGTTGCACCCCCAGTATCTGAGGTTAGAATTGGGGGCCATAGCGTGAAAGCCACATCCCTAAAGATAACCATGCGGCAGGGTGAGGGAAACTGCTGTGGGGCATGAGGAAGACACGCTGAAGGGAAGAGAGATTGAGGCACTCACCGGATGAGTGGGGCCAAATGAAGCAGTAAAGGGCGGTGTAAGTTGTATGTTCCAGGCCTGGTGAGCCCATGAGTTGCTCGTGAGAGATAAGAAGATGCCAGCAGTCAGTGGTTAGCAAATGGGGGTAACTGGCAAAATGGTGTACTTTGCTAGTAATGTTGGGGTTTCCCCTGCAATACAGCCTGAGTGGAGATCTTGGCAGGTAAAAACCCTTTCAAGTTACCTTTTAAAAATGTGTCTATGTAACTTCAAGCCTGGCCATGTGTTCTCTTAATGGGCTGGGATCTCCAACCCTGTAGTTTTTATTTAATAATAATAATACTTTAATACGTTTCAATTGGGAAACGCCCCTAATCCCAGCCAAAAAATGGTTCCTGAGCTCACAGCCTGTCTATGGAGAAAGCTGTCTATAAAACAAGAATAAGGTTTGAAATTTGTATCTACCTTGACACTAGCATGAAAGGCAAGAAAAAGCCCTATCAGTATAACCTCTGGGATTCTGCTGTTCCTACTAACCTTGTGACTGCTGGAGAACATGCTCACCGGCTCCGGAGCCAGCGGTTCTGGTCATCTATTTGCAGAAATGGTATCTTTCTTTATCTCTGGTTTTAAAAAGTGGCATGTTGTTACCATATGGCTTAACGTGTATGGTATGTGTGTGATCTAGAATGATATAATTACCTGTATGTATGTGTTAAAAATAGTTTTCTAATAATGTTCTTTCACCTTAATAATAAAAATTATTTTTAGCAAAGCAGTTCTGTTCCAGCATTTGGGTCTTCAGCCTCTAGATGACTTGCATCTGAAGAAGTGAGGTTCTTACCCACGAAAGCTTATGCTCCCAATACTTCTGTTAGTCTCAAAGGTGCCACAGGACCCTCGGTTGCTTTTTACAGATTCAGACTAACACGGCTACCCCTCTGATACTTGACAGCCTCTAGATGGCGCTGTTGGTGCTCAAGTTCTGTGATGAATATTTTTGCTTTGCTCTAGCTGAGCAGTGGGGGGCCCAACTGAGTTTTGATAGGTGGGGTCAGAGCACACGACTGGGAGCAGGGAATTCCTGTCCTAGTGCGGACTCGTTCCCTCTGTGACTTTGGGCAAATCACTTCTCTCTCTCTCTCTCTCTCTCTCTCTGTTTCCCAGTGGTTAAAATGAGGATTAGTTCCTGGCCTACTGTGAGGGTTGGTTTGTTAGTGGAGACGCTCGACAGCCGTGGTTCTCAACTAGGGGTATGCGTACCCCTGGGGGGGACGCAGAGGTCTTCCAGGGGGTACCTCAACTCATCTAGGGATTTGCCTGGTTTTACAGCAGGTTACATAAAAAGCACTAGTGAAGTCAGTACAAACTAAAACTTCATACAGACAATGGCTTGTTTATACTGCTCTATACACTGAAATGTAAGTACAATATTTATATTCCAATTGATTTATTTTATAATTATATGGTGAAAATAAGATAGTCAACAATTTTTCAGTAATGTGCTGTGACACTTTTGTGTTTTTATGTCTGATTTTGTAAGCAAGTGCTTTTTAAGTGAGGTGAAACTTGGGGTACACAAGCCAGATCCAATCCATGCAACAAACCTCGATGCCAACTCTGCCCACATATCTACACCAGCAACACAATCACAGGACCTAACCAGATCAGCTACAACATCACCGGTTCATTCACCTGCACGTCCACCAATGTTATATACACCATCATGTGCCAGCAATGCCCCTCTGCTATGTACATTGGCCAAACTGGACAGTCCCTACGTAAAAGGATAAATGGACACAAGTCAGATATCAGGAATGGCAATATACAAAAACCTGTAGGAGAACACTTCAACCTCCCTGGCCACACAATAGCAGATGTAAAAGTGGCCACCTTACAGCAAAAAAACTTCAGGACCAGACTCCAAAGAGAAACTGCTGAGTCCAGTTCATTTGCAAATTTGACACCATCAGATCAGGATTAAACAAAGACTGTGAATGGCTAGCCAACTACAGAAGCAGTTTCTCCTCCCTTGGTGTTCGCACCTCAACTGCTAGCAGAGGACCTCACCCTCCCTGATTGAACTAACCTCGTTAAATCCAGACTGATTCTTGCCTGCATATTTATACCTGCCTCTGGAGATTTCCATTACATGCATCTGACGAAGTGGGCATTCACCCACGAAAGCTTATGCTCCAATACATCTGTTAGTCTTAAAGGTGCCACAGGACTCTCTGTTGCTTTAAGCCAGATCCGACTCCTGAAAGGGGTCCAGTAGTCTGGAAAGGTTGAGAGCCACTGCTCTAGAGCAACTGAGTAGTAAAATGATCCATCCCTGGAGGGCTGAGCACACTGACAGTTCTAGTGAGGATTTGATTCTGATTTTGTGGGTCTTAGGCCAGTGTAGTTTCACTGATTTCGGTGATTGACACTGGTATAAGAGACAGGGATCAGGCCATTAGCTTTTATAGAGCTCTTTGCATATTGAAAGCACTGTACAGACGCTGAGCTAATTCATCCTTGGGTCACTCCTGGAAGGTAGGTGGCTGAGTATCATTATCCTCATTTTACAGATGGTTAAACTGAAGCATGGGGATGCTGTGACTGGCCTAAGTGAATCAGTGGAAAAGCCAGGATTCCCCCTCCCAACATTTCCATGGAACAGAGACTTTCTTCTGAGGCAAATACTGGCCGTCTCTCACTCTGTCACCCCAGTGTGACTCCACTGGGTGAATTACACCAGCATAGCCTGTGTGGGGGGGGGTGTTGAATCAGGTCCACTAGCTACACACCACTATTCTGCACAGAGTGGGAAACTGAGGCATGGGTATCTCCTCTGGCTAGGGATTTATATCACCCTCAACCTCAGGTATCCTAGCACCTGCTGTTGGTGATTGGCCTGCTCCTGTTTTCCTCAGAAAGCTCTGCTGTGAGAATGGGCAGCATCCCCCTTTCCCCTCCTCCCTCCGGGGCTATGGTGGCTTAGGGCTGCAAGAGTGAAATAGAATACGTGACAGAACAGTGAGTTATTCCCCGATTGCCAGTCGTGTCAGTGACTCAGTCCAGACTGTTTATAAGGGGAGCTGGGGATTGCTGGACAGCCCCCTCATGGTCAGATAAGTGTCTTTGAATACATGGTTGAGGCCGGGTCTCCAAAGGTATGTCTACACTGCAATAAAACAGGCTGGCCCGTGTCAGCTGACTCCGGCTTGGGAGGCTATAGAATTGACATGTAGTCAGCTGGGCTCCGGGACCCTGTGAGGGGTGGGGGTCCCAGAGCCCAGTCAGCTGACGTGGACCAGCCCAGGGCATTTTATTGCAGTGGAGATGGACCCTGAGGGTCTGATCCCGCAAAGAGCTGACTGCCCCCAACTCAGCAGGAGTTGACAGGAGCACTGATGGGAGCGGGATCAAAGCTTAGCCCCAACTGTCAATTATTTGTGTATATATTTATTTGCCTTCTCCTTGAGCCTTTCTTCAGGGACCCCAGCTTTTCTCTGCAACCCCAGGGGCTAGAACCCCCACCGCTTCTTTTTCAATGAAAACAGAGGGACGGCAGGAGCTGGGGCTTTAAGAAGAGCACCCCAGGCTGGGGCTAAAAGCGGGAGCGCGGTGTAGGCTGACCAGACAGCAAGTGTGAAAAAACCAGGTGGGGGTGGAGGGTAATAAGAGCCTATATAAGACAAAGCCCCAAATCTCGGGACTGTCCCTCTAACACCAGGACAGCTGGTCCCCCCTAGCTGCCAGCAGGGACGAGGGGCTCTGCCCAGAAGGGGGTAAGCAGGTGAGCTAGGGGACGTGCTCGGCGCTGCTGTGCCTCTCTTGGTCCCAGGAGAGCGGAGCGAGCAGGTGGGCGAGGGAGCCCAGGCTGGAGTCCCCGCAGGGCGCTGGCGTGGCCAGGCAAACCCCCGGCTTGTCCCTCGCCCCAGCGGATACAGGACAAGCCCTTGGCCCCGGGCCTGGCCCGGCCCCGGGGCGAGGGGGCCCCGGCGGCGGCGGCGGGCTCGGAGCTCGCTGCGCCCGTGCCCGGTAGGCGGCACTGCTCGGAGCTCGCCGCCCCTGGCGCGCCGGCCGCCCGCGCTCTTCGCAGGACCAACGAGGCGGCGGCGGCGGCCGCCCTCCCTCCCAGGCTGCACTCGGGCCGCTCCCTCCCCAGCATGGCAGCGGGACCCAGCCCACGCCCCTAGCGAGCCCCGGCCCGGGCCGCTTCCCCCGAGAGCCACCCAGCGCGGGGCCATGGCCGAGTGGGCCCCCGCCCAGGTAAGGGCCCCGCGGGCCGGGAGCGAGCGGGGCTTTGCTGCCCCCCAGCCGCGGGGACCGGCCCGGGGGCTCCTGGCAGGACAGGCTGGCCCCGGGGGGGGGGGGCGGCGGGCGGTCCCCCCCCCCCGCCCCCCCAAGCATTGCCCGAGAGAATAATTCCTCCCGTCCCGGCCCTCCTGGGCCACCCCACGCCCCCCGCTCCCAACAGCCCCGCCGAGATGCAGCCACCTCTGGGGGGCAGGACATCAGCGCAGGGCCCCCGCAGCGTGCGGGGATGTCTGAGCAGGGGCCGTGGGGTGAGGCCTCTGGGCTTGGGACGTGCCCTGCCCTCCTTATTGTCCACCCGGAACAGCGGGCGTGAGGGGACTGACTCGACCCTGCTGGGATTTGAACCTTGGGATTCAGGGTAGCTGGGGACTTAGGGCTGGGAAAGGGACACTGGGGCTTCAGGGTGGCAGGAAAGTTGTTTTCAGCTGAGCTGGGGAATCATCAGCGTTACAGACTCTTGCCCAGTCGGCTCATTCCCTGAAGCATTTACACATCGCCAACCTTATCGGGAGGCGTTTATGATTCATGGGAATGTCCAGTCCTTTGTTCATCCTTATGGAGCTCCTGGCTTCACACACATGTTGTGGCAGTGAGTTCCACCGGCTTACACAATTTTGCTTGCTTAAAATCATGTACTTTTCACTTTAATTGACAAGCCCCTTGTTCTTATGCTCTGAGAGAAGGTGAATAGAGGCTCCTGACTGTCTCTGGACCATTTGCTATTCTGTAGACCTGTGTCGTCTCCCGCTCTGTCTATACTAAGCAGCCCCAAGCGTTTCAATCTCTTCCCATAAGGAAGTCTTTTTCAGGCCTCTAATCGTTTGTTGTCCATCTCTAATCCCCTTCTACTCTGCTTATTCTCGCTGAGAAAGAGTGACCAGAACTGACCCCAGGAGTCCAGCTGTGGGGGTCCCATTGACTAGTATGATGGTGTAAAAACCAGAGCTGGCAGAAAACACAAATTCAATTTTGCAAAAAAAATTTGAGATTTCAGAATTTATTTTCATTCTGCAGCAGAAGGAAACCGGGACCTTTTGAAATTTTCCATGAAAAAACATGAATGAGAGATTCCCTCTAGAATAGCCAATAGCCCAGTGGTGGGATGTCAGAGACCCCAGTTCAAATCCCTGTTCTAACCATTGGGGTGAGATGCTCTCTGGTTTTGACCAGAAATTCCATCCTAGACCCGGGAAAGCTTCTGGACAAAAGTTTCCTCAAAACTGATCCATTTCTGTGAAAAATTTCAGGTTAGACAAATCAGCATTTTCCAGCAGGGGGGGGGGGGGGGCGTTTGTTGAAAAATTCCCAGCCCACTAGAACAATAACCTGCTCAGTATTGTTTTCTGTCCTGCTCCTCATGCATCTGACATTTTGTTTGCTTTTTCTGACCACAGCTACATGTTGATTTGCTAGACTGAAGTTTGAATTTCACACAGCGTGCTCGGGAAGCTCAAAATACATCCTCCAGCGTGGGTTACGTTGTGTTGTCAACAAGGAATTTCATCTGCCCTTGTGCTGCCCATTCGCCTGGCCTGGAAAGGTCCCTCTTGAGTCTTCTTTAGTCCTGACTAACCTGAATTTCTTTTGCCATCATCAGACCTTTGCCCCCTTCTTCCCAGTTAGTAAATATCTTAATCACTGATCCTAGTGCAGATCCGTGGGGCACCTCACTCTTCACCATTTGCCATGATGGAAAATTAGCCATTCATTCCTAGTGGCCATGAAAGGTCAGCCCAAAGCCAGTTAGAGTCCATAGACTATGGCTTCTACTTTTCTGCTAAACTCTTTTGATCTGTGTTGCCCTCATCCTCCCAACCTGCACCCTCCTCATTTGATTAGTCCGTCTGTTGTGTCCTGTCTCTGACCTGTAGATTGTGAGTTCTCTGGAGCAAAGTGTCTCATTTTTCTGTGCAGCATCTCCCACTACAGAGCCTTGATCCTCGGTTAGGTTTCCTAACTCCTGCTGTGATAACAATGAATGGAAAGACTCCCATTGGTTTCAGTGGGCTTTGGATCAGGTCCTAACTGGTGTTACTGGGAGCAAATGACTATTCCAGCTACCCCACCGATGAGCATGGTATAAATACCTAGATAGGCTCCACTGAAAGAACTGAGCGCAGGACAGTGCGCGGGTGACAATGTAACATCAGGGAGGTGTTTTGTTTGGATGTCTCTCAAGTGCTGTGTGCTTTGTTTGTTGTGACTGAAGCTAATTTCTGTTGTCTCCCCTGCACATGCTCCCTTCCTCCCTTGGCCGTGCTTCTCATCTATCGCGTTCTCTTCTCCCCACGCTTGCCTGGCCTGGCCTGACTGGACATTCCTCTGCAGGTTAGAACGTTGCTGTGGGAGGAGGAATTAGCTACAATGAGAACTGACCTAGTTTGCCTCTTTTCCTTTTGGCCTGTGGATTTTTGCCAGTCTCTGCCCCTTCTTTCCAGTTGGGATTGGAAGCCCAAGTAGTGAAATACAGTGAGGGGGAAAGGATGGCCTTGCCTTTCTAGATTGGCTGGAAACAGGATGCCCTGGAATTCACAGCCGAGAGATTGAGTTCCTTATTGATCCAGGCCAATTCCCAGCCAGTGAGGTTCAGACAAACATTGGGGCGTTTGGATCCTGATCCGCATCCTCCCTGTTCCTTTAGCGTTTTGCCACTGAATAAACACGACTTCAGCCATTGTCAATCTCTCTCCCTGCAAACAGATTCAGGAATGGAACGTCGAGGCGCAACATCTGCTGCCTTTGCAGCCGCCCCTTGTCCCCGAGCGCGCTCACATGAGAGAAGCACAGCTGCACACGGCAGAGGCCTCTCTCTGGACTGTGGTGGCTACAGTGCAGGCCATGGAGCGGAAGATCGATTTGCTGGCCACGCGCCTGCTGAGCCTGGAGGGGAGATCTGGGACGGCCGAGAAGAAATTAATAGACTGTGAAAAAACAGCAATGGAGTTCAATAACCAGCTGGAGAGTAAGTGGGCCGTGCTGGGAACTCTGATCCAGGAGTACGGGCTGCTGCAGAGGAGGCTGGAGAACGTGGAGAACCTGCTGAAGAACAGGAACTTCTGGGTCCTGAGGCTCCCCCCAGGCACTAAAGGGGAGGTGCCCAAGGTAACAATATCCCAGCTAGTGCTGAGAAGCATGTGCTGAAATGTTCTGTGCTATCCCCATGATGTGTAGGTCCTTGTGTTTACTGCTATGGAATGGCTTGGAATGAGGAGTGGGAATGCTGGACAATACGGTGGGTCAGTGTAACTCCGCTTTCTTTCCTGTGAATCTTTGCATGAATTGGACGTTGGGGGAAGGTGTTGGCTGGGTGGCACTGGAGACCGAAGTCTTCCTGTGTCTGAGAGCAGTGGGCAGCACTCCGAGCTTCCCTCCGCTGCCTCACAGCAACCCTCTCCTGGAAGAGCCGTTGAACTAGGGCAGTTCAGTCTCCATGGCCCATTCGGTCTTTGGCCTGTTTGCCGAGACTGCCAACAAAGGGGTCAGTTGGCACCAAAAGGGATGTGTGGACACTGTTCCCTGGGCGTTGGACTGAGTCTGCCAGCTTACACAGGTAGATTTGTAGGGCCCATTGCGATTGTCTGGTCTGAACTCCTGCCTAACGCAGGCCAGTACTACTGACCTCCCACACGCTTGTGATTGCAGATGCCGGTGACGTTCGTCGACGTGGCTGTCTATTTCTCCGCGGAGGAGTGGAAGAATTTGGAAGACTGGCAGAAGGAGCTGTACAATAACCTGGTGAAGGAGAACTATGAATCTTTGAGCTCGCTGGGTAAACATGCGTTTTCACGTGCTTACCGGATGGTGTGTGTGACATCTGTGGCAGCCCTAGCCCCTGCTCCAGGCAAAACCCCAGGCCTTTTCATTTCAGCTGGAGCAGTGGCTATACCCTCCCGAAGGCTAGAAATTAGACCTCAAATCCATACGTCCTCCCATTTAGTGGGAGAGACTCACCTACCCTGTCGTGGGTCCAATCCGTCCGTCTCCAGGGTTTGTTATATCTGGAGTCGCGCTTGCCGAAATCAGGGCTAAAATTGGCCCAATGCTGATCTTTACTTGTGCACGTTCAGCATGGCCCTGGTGAAAAATCTGCTTCGTTAATGCGGAGCCAGGTGAGTAAATGGTACAGGTGGGTGTTGCTTGCCCTGCCTTAGGCTGGTTTAAGCTTCTGTAGTTTTTTGAATAGGTGAGCGGTTTACCATTGGTACTTGTGAGCTTCTCTCCATATGGAGATCTCTGAATTCAGAGCACAGCTCACCTTCCGCTGAATGCTTTACCTTCCCACAGGCTCTTTGTCAATAGCTTTTGCTGCAAAGTTTCCCCCCGTCCCCTCCAGTGACGAGAGGGGGCTGGCTTGAAATAAATGAAAGGTCTCTAACAATCGCACGCTGTGAAATGAACCATTGGGTTCCCCCGATATCTTTTCTGTGAACAGACCGGACCCGTTCCAAAGTGGATCCCGAGCCCCGGATTGAACGAGGGGAAGAGGCTTGTGTCCAAGAGCAGCAGGACTTAAAGGAGAGAGAAATCCCTCCAGAGCCCTGCACAGGTGAGGAATGAGATTCAAGCAAATCCGAGGCAGGGAGTGGAATGCGAATTGCAGCTGATGTGGCCGTATCCCGTTCATGGGATCGCTCAGGGTTTTCCTCCAGTCCTGACTTCTTCCGCTTCGGCTCTTTTTGGTCTTTTAACCATTCAGGACATCTGCCCGTTGGTGTACCCTTTTACTTGGCGACGCTCCTCTGCCTCTCACGGCTCGCTCTGTATCTCTGGCGATGGCTGTACCTTGGGCGCTAGACCACTTCTCTTAAGGCTTAACTCCTGCTCCGCTTCGCCTGGGGATGTTGTGAAGGCAAAAGTGTAACTGGGTTCAGAAAAGAACTGGATACATTCCTGGAGGACAGGTCTGTCAATGGCCATTAGCCAGGAGGGTCCGGGACGCAGCCCTATGATCTGGGTGTCCCTAAACTTCTGGCTGTCAGAAGTTGAGAGTGGAAGACAGGTGGATCATTCCTTGATTGCCTTGTTCTGTTCACTGCCCCTGAAGCTCTGGTACTGGCCACTGTTGGAGGCAGGACGCTGGGCTAGATGAGCCATTGGTCTGACCCAGTACATCAGCTCTTACATAATGGGAAAGCAGTGAATTCTGGCTGGTGCGCGTTGAGGTCGGAGTAAGGACTCCTGGGTTCTGCTCCTAATTTTGCCACTGACTTGCTGTGGGATATTGAGCAAGTCACTTAGGCTCATATTTTCAAAAGTGGCCTGATTTTGGGGGGTCCCCATTTTTTAGTGCCCAGCTCGAGACCCCTCAGACCTGGTTTTTCAGCAATGCCGATCACCTGGCGCTCCCATTGACTTCAGATTAATGGATGCTCAGCACCTGGATAATTAGTTAGTTTAAAGTTAGGTCCCAGTTGGAAAGTATAGGCGTACCCGCTCCGTGCCTCAGTTTCCCCACCTGTGGAAGTGATCAATGCTTAATACTGAACTACCTCACAGGACGATTTTGGAGCTTAATGAATTAATATTTCTAAAGCACCTCAGCAGGTCCCGTGTTCCAAATAGCTAATGTGAAACAGAATCCAGGAGCAGACTGGAACTCAGGAAGGTTTCACTCTCTGTTGTTATATATATTTACAGAAGAACGGCCATACTGGGTCAGACCAATGGTTCATGTAGCCCAGTCTCGTGTCTCTGACAGTGGCCAGTGTCAGATGCTTCAGAGGCAATGAACAAAGCAGGCAATCTTCGAGTGATCCATCCTTTATCGTCCAGTCCCAGCTTCTAGCAGTCAAAGGCTTAGGGACACCCAGAGCGTGGGGTTGTGCCCCCTGATCATCTTGTAATAGCCATTGATGGACCTATCCTCAATCAACGTATCTAATTCTTTTTTTAATCTAGTTATAATTTTTACCTTCCCAACATCCCCTGGCAATGCGTTCCACGGGTTGACTGTGCGTTGTGTGAAGAAACACTTCCTTTTGTTTGTTTTAAACCTGCTGCCTGTTAATTTATCGGGTGACCTCTAATTCTTGTGATATGTGAAGGGGTAAATAATGCTTCCCTAGTCGCGTTCTCCACACCGGTCATCCATGTTCTAGGTGTCTGTCATATCCTCCCTTAGTCGTCTCTTCTCTAAGCTGAACAGTCCCAGGCTTTTTAGTCTCTCCTATGGAAGCTGTTTCAGACCCCTAATAATGTTTGTTGCCCTTTTCTGTCCTTTTTCCAATTCTAATGCACCTTGTTTGAGATGGGGCGACCAGAACTGCACCCTGTATTCAGTTCATATTTGGTCTTTTTTTTTTAGGCCTCCTGGAGAAAAGGGACTTTTAGGGCACGTCTACACTGCAATAAAACACTGTCTGCTGGCCTGGGCTGCAGGGCTATCAAACTGTAGTGCAGACATTTGGGCTCGGGTTGCAGCCTGGGCTCTGGGACGCTGGGAGGGAGAGGATCCCGGACCCTAGCCCAAGTCAGCTGACATGAGCCAGCTGCATGGGTGTTACTGCAGAGTAGATCTACTCTTAGGAAGGGATTCACCCCGACTGTAATGTTCCCGCTGATGTCACTTCCACACACAGCAAGGTGATATGCCGTGTAGTGTATTCACCCCTCGGCCAAGCCCCTAGCTAGCACGTTCGTGTCTATTCAGAACACGCCCCCTCTGGCGGGCGAAACGGCATTGCTTTGAGATGGGTGTGAACGGTTCAGCGGCTGATACACGAACGGCTTCTAATTCTCTGTCCCTCGAACAGAATCCCTGATGTCAACGCCCGACATTCTGTCCCGGATCAAACAAGAGGAGGGGCCTTTTGTCGGGGAGCAGCAGTTCTCGGAGGAGAGAGGAATTCCCACGGACCCCTGCGCAGGTGACTAATCGATTCAAACAACTTGCAAATGACGAGTGCGGCAAAGAGCAGGAAATTGAGCGTAGCTTCCTCTCAGAAGTCTGCTAGTTCTGTAGCTTTGCTCGTCCAGTTCATGGGTCTTGTCCTGCCTGCCACTGACTTGTTGTACGACCATGGGCAAGTCACTTGAGGCCCAAATTTAGCAGCCTCTGATTTTTTGGGGGAGGGGAGGCCTCCATTTCCTCCTAGATGCCAACTTCTTCTGATTCTAATCCCTCCGTTTTGTGAGCAGTCCCCTCCAGGGCACAGTACAGACCGGAATTGCCTCGTGCACCTGTTTGCTTCCCTTCTGGCTGCCCCCGACGCAGGGACCGCCCATCAGTTTGAGAGCAGAGTGTTCCGTGGGTAATAGACCATGATGTGTTTTCATTTTCTCCCTCAGGAGCAGACGCTCTGATTTCTGCCCATGACTTTTTATCCTGGATTAAACAAGAGGAAGAGCCCTGTGTCCGGGATTCGTGGGAGCTGGCTGAAAGAGAGATCCTCACTGGCCCTGGCCCAGGTGAGCAATGGCTTAAAAGCGGCCGGAACCAGTGAGTAAAGCGCAGAAGTCAGCAGTCCGGCTGCCCTGTGGGAGCTCTGCGGAGGGGAAGGTTTGTCCTGTCTTCGTGGCAGACACCAGTTCGTAGATTTTAAGGCCGGAAGGGACTAGTGTGATCGGGTCGTCTGATCTCGTGTATAAGGCTGGCCAAAGAATCTCCCTCCGAGTGATCCCTGCGGAAGCTTCCTGATAGGTCTAGCGCTGGGCAGCTTCTCTCTTCCTTCGGTCATACGGCCTCTCGCAGAGTCTTCGGCTGGCTTGGCTGAAGCGGCGTCAGGCTGGGTCTACATCGGAATGTTCTGCGGGCACAGCTGTGTTGGTGAGACGTGTGAAAAATCCCCTCCACACACACAACCAACAGAGCTATGCCATCGAAAGCCCCAGTGTAGACACGGTTAGGCCAACAAAAAGTCTCTTTGCTGGCATAGCTCACGTCGTTTGGGGAACGGATCTCAGCACTACTGGCAGAAGGACTCTTGCTGGTATAAGCTACATCTCCACGAAGAGGGTTTGCTGGTCGAGCCGGGCAGGAATCCTTTCCTAGCGCAGTGACAGACTCCAGGAGCTCAGTGGGGTTAGCTCAACAAAGAGGAGGTGAAGGGGTGACTTGATGACAGTCTGTAAGTCCCTACCTGGGGAACAATGTTCAGACTAGCAGCGACAGCAGGTCTAACACGACCCAATGGCTGGAAGCTGAAACTAGACCAGTTCAGACAGGCAACAAGGTGCAGTTTTTAACAGTGAGGGTCGTTAACCATGGGAACGTTTTACCAGGGGCTGTGGTGGGTTCTCCAGCACTGGCCATTTTTAAATCAAGACGGGAGGTTTTTCAAAAAAGAAAATCTGCTCTTGGGTTTATTTGGGGGCAGGTCTCTGTTATACCGGAGGTCAGACTGGCTGATCCCAGTGGTCCCTTCTGGTCTCATGCAGACCAGGCCTTCGTCTCCTCTGTAGACGGGGATGCTGCCCAGTGTTCCCTCTAGTTTTTTATGTCCGTGTGCGGAATGAATTTTGTTATGTGCACCAGTATGGAGGTTGTGTGTGACACATCACCTTCGTATCAGTGCACATAACAAAATCCATGTGGTGGGGATGGGGCCGAGGGGTTTGGAGTGTGTAGGGGGCAGGGGAGGGGGGGGCGCTCAGGGCTGGGGCAGAGGGTTGGGGTGCAGGGGTGTGAGGGCTCCGGCTGGGGGTGTGGGCTCTGGGGTGGGGCTAGGGATGAGGGGCTCAGGGCTGGGGCAGAGGACTGGGGTGCAGGCTCTGGGGTGGGACCAGGGATCAGGGGTTTGGGGGTGCAGGCTGTCCTGGGGCTGCGGTGGGGAAGGAGGACTCTTCCTCTCCCCCTCTTCCCCCCTCCCCCCCCACAGCCCTCTCTCACCACAGCAGCTTGGGGCCGGGGGAGAGGCACCTCTCCCTGGGGCAGCTCCGGCGGGGCTGAGCTGGGCTGAGGGAGGGGCTCCTCTCCCCCGGCGGCGGCAAGTCCGGGGCAGGTCTGTGCTGGGGCAGAGGCACCTCTCCCCGCCACAGCCCTGAGCCCCTGCGTGGGGCTTAATAGGCAACTGCGCGGCCACGCAGCTTAGAGAGAACTTAGATGCTGCCTCCTCTCCTACGCCCGGTCCTAGATGGCCCAGAGCTGATCCCTGCGCAGAGCGCATGCATGGGGCCTAGGGGGGAACTTCCCCCGCTGTTCAGTCCCAGGGCAGGGTTGTGCGGCTCAGGTGGTTAGAGCCTCAGGGATTGTAGCCTTGGAGTCTCGTGGTACATTCCCCCACCTCCCAGCACCCATTCAGCTCCATGTGTGCCCCAACCTTGGGAGACGGCTGCTCCCAGCTAGGAATAGGCACCCAGCTGGGAAGTGTTGGCTTTAGCCTGCTACTGGTTAACGTGCTCAGCTGTGAAAATACAGCTTTGGGTTGGTTTGTTTTCGTGGCTGAGTGGCTGGTTGGTGTTTGCAGTGATGAGCTCCTTTGGGTATTGGTAGCACCTGGAGGCTCTAACTGAGATTGTGCTGGGTGCTGCACGGCCCCGCAGCGAGAGACGGCCCCGCCACCAGAGCTCATGAGCGCCATAGACCAGAGCGAGAAAATCCCCATTGTACAGATGAGGAACTGAGCCTCGGAGAGACGAATGCCTTGGCCGAGGTGGATGTGACCGAGCTGGGAATGAAACCCAGATCTCCCGAGTGCCAGCCCGGTGCCTGTTCGACCGAGATCTTAGTAATCTGCTTAGAGTGGACAATTGGCGCACACAAGCCCTTCCCAAGCCAGAAACCTTTATTCGCGCTCCACTGTCTGATCGCCACGTGACGGAGGGTCGTCACGCCGCTTAAAGCATGACTGGAAGGCGCTCAGATGCTGTAGCGATGAGGATGGTGTAAGGACCTGCCCAGAACAGAGTAGAACTGGGACAAAAGATGCTCTCGAGGGAGGGAGCTGGGACTCCTGGGTTCTCTCCTGGCAGGAAGTCGGGAGGGAGTGTACTGTAGGTGTTACGAGCCGGGACCCAGCTCTCCTGGGCTGTTCAGAGATTGTGAGGCCAGTAGGGACTGTTAGCTCATCCGGCCGGAGGCGAAGTGGTTAATGTTTGCTGAGTTTTTTGAGCTCCTCGGTTGGGAGGTGTGCTAGGAGGGGCAAGTACTGTTCTGACACATTCAAACAAACAGGGATTTTTGCCCCGCTGCCCTGGCCCTGGCCCTGCGAGGACGTGTCGGGAATGATCTGCAAAGCCCTGTTTCCTACGTGGCTGGGACCAGAGAGTGCTTTGGGTGGCGGTCACCCAATTCTCTCTGGCTGAAATCCACCCCTGGGCCAGGGAGTGGATTGGGTCAATGGGACTTAAATGGTGCTCGGGTCTGGTACTGACTCCCTGTCCCTCTCTCCCGGGGCTGGGGCTGGCCTTCTGCAGACAGCTGGATGTAACCAAGAGAGCTCAAACCCTTCTCACCACCGGTCTCCATCCCAGGTTCATCCTAGCCCAGGCCACTGAGACCCTCAGCTCCGTGGGACCGTGCTGTGGATCGGGGCCCTTTCCCCCAAAGAGCCAGGGATGAGATTCTCTTTCTTTCTTCCGGCAGGCGACGGGCTCATGGTGAAGTCAGAGGAGCAGCGTCACCGCCAGGCAGGCCCGGAAGAGCTGGGGTTGCTGGGGGGCTCTGGGGAGCCGCTGTACCAGGCCCCGGCCTACGGGAGCCAGCGTGGCTCGGTGACGCAGCAAGCCGACCCTGGCGAGAACAGACTGGGTAAATCCTTCCGCTCGGACACCAGCTTCGGCGAGTTACCAGGCACCTTGATCCCGCGGGGAGCCGGCGCGCTGAGGGAGGAGCGGCCGCACGGCTGCGCCGAGTGCGGGAAGAGCTTCAGCGTGAAGAAGAGCCTGAAGATCCACCAGCGGAGCCACGCCAAGGAGCGGCCCTACGCCTGTGGGGAGTGCGGCAAGAGCTTCAACTGCCACTCGGGGCTGGTGCGGCACCAGATGATCCACCGCGGCGAGCGGCCCTACAAGTGCGAGGAGTGCGGGAAGTGCTACAGCCGCAAGGAGCACCTCCAGAACCACCAGCGGCTGCACACCGGCGAGCGGCCCTTCCAGTGCGCCGCCTGCGGGAAGAGCTTCATCCGCAAGCAGAACCTGCTGAAGCACCAGCGCATCCACACCGGGGAGCGGCCCTACCAGTGCGGGGAGTGCGGGAGGAGCTTCCGCTACAAGGAGTCCCTCAAGGACCATCAGCGGGTTCACGGCGTGGAGCTGGGGGCCCCCCCTGGGCTCCCGCCGGCCCTGGGCAGTGGGGACTAGATCCTAGGACTCTGTGGACTAGACCACATGGCAGCTCGGGACTGGGTCGTAACCGACCGCGAGTTAAATCCAAGGCAGCGAAGTGAAAACCAGTGCCAGAAACGAAGCTTTTACCAAATACGTCCGCGGGGCACGAGGCAGCCAGGGTGTCTGGCACGTCCTCGGAGGGACCCCCAGCACGTTTTTCATACCCATCTCCCATCCCCTGGACAAGCCCCTTCCACGCAACCTGCAGAGAGAGCCGGAAAGGCCGGTGCATGCGCCGAACGCTGCTCCCCGCCTCCTCCCGCGCCCAAAGAGCCGCCCCGTCCCTTCCCGTCCCCACTAACGTCCCGCTCCGGTTCTAAACCCCCCCATGGCCTCACTCCTGGGGCTCTTCTCTAGAACCCGCTTCCTTTCTCCCGCTCCACACCCACAGCGGCAAGATTGTGTGAGAGCCTTCTCCTCTGCAGCTCCTGCCCCCAGAGCCGCCTCTCCCCACATTTCTCCTCCCACTGGATGTAGATTGATTCTTTCTCGCCCGTTGCTCTGTGTCCCGTCCCCTCCCCCCGTTGTTTTTACATTTTAATTTCATAAGCGTGCAGTTAAACTCTGTCAAGTGTTTGGCGGTGTAGTTTTATATGGCAGATGCAATGCAAAATAAAGTTGTGTTGGGCTGTTCCTGGTGTTGGATTGTTCCTACAGCTAACCCTACGCAGCCAGCCGGCCTCATGAAATTCTAGGGGAGACCATTGCCAAGAACGCAGCAATCCGTGGCCGCCTGGGTTTTTCCACTCCTGGTGGCCCACCAGGGCCAATGCACCCTGCCCGGATTCTCGTTTACGCTAAAGCTCTGCTAGCATGAAGGGGCCGGGAGAACTCCACCCACTTTCCAAGCTCCTCTATGCTGCTGGAGCAGGGGCAGGGCTTCTCATGTAAACCAGGATCGGGCCCCTTTTCTCCATCAGAACCTCCCTCCTGGCGGGTTTGCTCCTGCCCACGTTGGGTGCGGTGAGAGTGCCACTGGCGTCCACGGGGGTGGGCTCGTCTGACGTGCGCCATGCTAGGACAGCCCTCCCCCCCGCTGGGTCCCCACAAGCTGCCCGCTGGGATCACCGGAGCTAGGGCCACTACAGGCCAAATGAACCTGCCGCCAGGCAGAGGCACGTCCGAACCTGGCACGTGGAAGTGGCTGGTTCTGGCCCTGTCGGGTTGGGCTGATCAGCAGTGGTGTGATTAGAGTCCTCGCGTGTGTGCGGGGAGACGATGCTAACCAGGAACTGGGTATTGACCCAGCAACACGCTGCTCCTTTCCCCACGAGCTGGCAGCCCCTGAGCTCCTCTGTCATTTCCTTATTGGTTAGCCCGGCGGGTGCGAGGAAACGCTCTGTAATCTCCAGTTCGGAGCCTCTTTGCCTGCACCGCCCAGTGAGTCCATAGGACTTCAGTGGTCCCTCATCCTGGCTTCTGCACGCACAGAGAGGTAGCAATGAGAGGAACCCCTGCTACTGCTACCTGCCTGAGATGCATACTGCGGGGGAGGGGTTACCACCAATCTCCCATCCCCCCCCCGCCCAAGAGGTGGTCCAGAGTCTCCGTGGACCTGACCGGCTGACGTGTGTCTGACCTTGGTCTGCTCTGGTCTGTGATGGGCCTGCCACCGTGTTCTCTTGTTGGGTCCTTCTGGTGCATCTTGTCCCTACCCTAGTCCTCCCTGGCCTCAGTCACTGTTCTCCTCAGTAGAGTCCTTTGGCCTCGGGCAATGACAGGTGCTTGGTTCCAAGTCCTCGTAAAGTGGCCAGTGACTGATGGTGAAATGTAACCGCCTCTGATGTCCTTTTCCAGATGGTGCTATTTGCAAACCGTACCTCCTGTCCTGGACGGAAGAACCGTGTGTCCGGGACCGGGGGGGCTTAGCAGAGCGCGAGATCCCCACGGGACTCGGGACAGGTCAGTAATCACCTACAGCAGCTGGAGCTGGAAAGAAAAACAGACCTAACCAAATCCTCGTAAGCTCTTCTGTAATGAGGAAGGCCGGTGCAGTGGTCAGTGGGCTAGCCTATAACTCTGGAGATCCGAGTTCATTCCCTGCCTGCGTGAATCACGCTGTGCTGCGGTTCCCCATCTGCGTAACAAGGCTAACAGGGCTGCCTCTGTGTGAGGATAAACATGAAAGGTTGAGAGGTGCTTGGGGCCACAGGTGAAGTCAGTGTCCCCCCAAGCCAGCGGCTCATTGGGCTGAGGCAGTTAAGGCATGTCGGTTTCATAGCCAACAGTACACGAGGGAGCGCTGTGGTCAGCATCACACGCAGCCGCCCGTGACTGCCCTAAGCCGACCAGGGCGAGTGGCCTGAGCAAGGCGAAACCCACGCCCTTCAGGCTTGCAGTGGAGCACCTTAGCCACTCAGCCCCCGCCCTCGAACCCTGGCAGGGCCAGAGGTAGAAATGACGCAGAATTGCTCCAGAGTCTCATTGCTTCCCGTAGCAGCTTCCTGATCGCTGTACTGCAGTAGCATCCACAAGGGGCTAGTGCTGACACAAGCCCTCCCCATAATGGACCATCACTCATGGCGTCCCACCAATCACAGCTGCTTTTTTTGACCTTTCGACGGGTCTCGAGGCCCCCTGGTTTCCTTTGGCTCCGGATCCCCAGGTGTGTCCGTTTAGCCCGCCCCCCAGAGAGAACACTGCTGGGCGGAGCCCTGTTTCGGGAGCTGCTTTTCTGATCTCCACGGGACACTTGGTAATGTTGTTCTCTCTCCCGCCAACAGAATCTCTCGTTTCCCCAGCTGGAGCTGTGGCCCGGACAGAACAGGGGGAAGAGGCCTGTGCAGGGAGCCGGCAGGACTCCGAGGAAAGAGGAACATCGGTGGCTCTGAGCACCGGTGAGTGATAGTTTGAATGTGGCCTTTTGGGCTTCACAAACTAGCTAATGAGAGAAGGCAGCACCGCGCTGGGCCTTTCTCCCCAGCCCGCACTGGTCAGTTTCGATTCTGTCTGTCTAGGTGGATTCTCGGACGGCCCTTAGCAGCGTAGTACCGGAGCTCTTCAGAGCAGGGGTGTCTCGTATCATGTGTTCGGACCATGCCAGGCACAGTGGGGATCTGATCTCGGTTGGAGCCGAGCGGGGGCTCGTTCTCCTGGCACAAAGGTGGCTGGATTCTCTCTGTGTTCCAGGTGGGATCGTAGCGGAGGCGCAGCGTCTTGAGGAGCATCCCCCCCACCGCGAGCAGCGCCAGATGGCGTCGGGAAGGCGGGTTTTCTGGAGTCCCGAGCAGAGAGATCCCCAGGATGCCCACAGGGTGGAGGATCAGTGTGGAGCTGCCCTCAGTAATTCCCCTGAGCAGCCAGTCCTGCTCCCAGGGTCGGAACCTCCCTTGCCCTCCGCGGGGGCAGGATCGGGCCCTGGGTGGGCCAGAGTTCCCTGCGAGAGCCGAGACGTGGCTGCCCCTTACGCCGCGCAGGCCGGGGAGCGGCCCCGTGCCTCGAGTGCTGTGAAATCCCAGTTCTGCTCCCCAGCAGATGAGCCAGTCCAGTGCGACAGGAGGTTCCCCCAGCCCACGGGCCTGGCCGCCCACCAGCCCAAGCCCAGTGGGCAGAGGCCCCATGCCTGCAGCGAGGGCGGCCAGAGCTTCAAGCAGCATCAGAACCCGATTATCCACCTGAGAACCCACGGCAAGGCCAAGCCCCACCAGTGCAGCCAGTGCGGGCAGAGCTTCCTCCACCGCTCCCGGCTCACCTACCACGCCCGCATCCACACCGGCGAGCGGCCCTACGCCTGCGCCCAGTGCGGCAAGAGCTACAGCCGCAAGGAGCATCTCCAGAACCACCAGCGGCTGCACACGGGCGAGCGGCCCTTCCAGTGCCACGAGTGCGGGAAATGCTACATCCGCAAGGAGCACCTGCAGTACCACCAGCGCGTCCACACCGGCGAGCGGCCCTTCCAGTGCGCCGCCTGCGGGAGGAGCTTCATCCGCAAGCAGAACCTACTGAAGCACCAGCGCGTCCACACCGGGGAGCGGCCCTACCAGTGTGGGGAGTGCGGGAGGAGCTTCCGCTACAAGGAGTCCCTCAAAGACCATCAGAGAACTCACGATGCTGAGCCAGGGCTGCCCCCCGGCCTGCACCCAGGAGCCGGGCTCAGGAAGCAGATGCCTCGGTGTGAGAGGGGAGCCAAGGGGGGGTCTGGGAGCTGATGATAATACTCAGCCCTTGTGCAGTGTTTCCCCTGGGCTGGGCCCAGAGGAGCCTGGCTCTCCCCAAGCGTGGGGCAGGAAAAGTGAAAGGACTTGGTCACAACACCGTGCCAGGAATCGAACTTGGGTCTCCTGAATCCCAGCCCTGTGCTCTAACCACTAGTCCACACTGCTTTCCTGTAGCAGGAAACTTCTTTTGGCTAAAACCCCCCTCTGAAAGTGAGCTGGGCACATTTCTCTGCTCATGTAGAACTGGTCTCTGCCACCCGGAGCAGTGTCCCAGCTACGGGCATCACAGCCTTCTCCTCTGCAGCTCCTGCTGCCCTGAACCTCTCCAGCCGCTTTCAGATCTCCTGGGGCTGTAGGTAGCCATCCTTGCTCCCATCCCCCTCTGTTTCTCTTGCACAATGGAAAATAAAGGTTGGCTGAATTCTGCTGGACTGGGCCTTTTTTTCTCCCCAAGCCAAAGGCAATTCGGGCAGCGCTCTCTCTCCTGTTCTCACAGTTAGGACTGGGGAGCCAGCATCTGCTTGAAAACATAACTGTGCAGTGACGTCGGGGGGAAGTGGAGCTGCCGGGGTGGCGCAGCCGGCTCAATTTGCAGCTCACGTGTCTCTCTGGCCTTTGGGCGCCTGGGAGCGCCCTGCATGTCGGTGCAAAGGTTGAACTGCAGCCCCCTCCTGCGGGGACGCTGCACTGGTGCAGCTCTGGTGAACGGCTGGGGAAAGTCCCCCTCTTTTGAACGGCGTCAGCCCTTTTGCGTTAGGGGTTTGCACCGGGGTAGCTACCCAGGTGCACGTTGCCCAAATGCAGCCAGGCCTCACCCTCAGTGACCCGGGGACCACTGACACCTTGTCCACACTAACGCTCCCACCACCGTGGGCAGTGCTAAGGCTGTGGTCTGCAAGGCCACAGAGCCGCTTCACCTCGGTAGGCTGGGAGTGGTGAACCGCCACGGGCTGCCCGGCTACCGTTTGGGCCAGGGAAGAGGGTGCCCCGAGGTTGGCCTGCAGTGGTAATCGTGCAATAGTCTGTGGCAAGGGGCTGTCCTGCAGGCTGGAGGCAAGGGGAGGGGGAGAAATGGGAAAAAGGGACCCCGCTAGCAGTCCTCTGTGGCGTCCCTCCCATGTGCAGACCCAGAACAAGGAGAATCAGGGCTTGCAGCGCTATAAATGCCTGGTATAGCTAGGCCGGCAGCGCCCCCTAGTGGAGACACAGGGTGTGCCAACAGACAGATTTTTTTCTACCACTAGGTACCCCCATGTCCCTGAACGCCGTTCGCTAGGCCAGGACAAGGCAGGGAGGTCGTATCTTTCACTGGACCAACCTCTGCTGGGGAGAGAGACGTGCTTCGAGCTTGCGCAGAGCTCATCACGGTTGAAAGCTCGTCTCTCTCCCCAACAGAAGTTGGTCCAACAAAAGATCGGACCTCACCCAGCTTCTCTCTAATATCCTGGGACCGACGTGGCTACCACAACACTGCACATGAGCTCTGCTGCCAGAAGCATTTGATAGTTGCACCTACGCTGGGGGTTTTGCCGGCATAGCTGGGGGGGGTTCCCCCCACCCTGGCACTCCTGGCCCACAGAGCTATGCCGCCAAAACTTCGTAGTGTAGTCAGCCTGCGTGTGACAGGCACTTGGGAAAATGCAGCTGACGCATCTGGGGAAAGGCGATCCAATGGGAGGGAGAGAGCTAGGAACCAGCAATGACTGAATGGGATGCAGGGGAGGGAGCAGGCAGCAAATTAGACCCGAGTTTGCAATGGGATATGGCTGCAAAAAAGGCCGATCCGAGTCGCCAAATCACACTGCTTGGCGTGGCCAGTACCCACCCCGATCTCCTTCCCTTTCCCTTGTCTGCCTGCTTTGGTCTCTGCGGGGCAGGGCCTGTGCCCTACGGGGGTGCTCCTGGAGCCAGTTGTTAGGAGCAGCATTGAGGCGCATATGGGAAGGCGGCCCCGTCCTGGAGCAGGGGTGGGTCCTAACCCCTGGAGTCCTGTGGCCAGCTTTACGTGTGGCAGAGCGGACACCGCTGAACTGGAAGGCCTTTAGAGAACAACCTGGGGGCTGGAGGAGCTGAGCTCTGAGGAATGATTGAGTGTGAAATGTATAGTTTGGCTAAACAGGGACTAGAGGCCTCCCCTGCCTCTTCTAATGTGAAGGGAGGGATAGCTCAGTGGTTTGAGCCTTAGCCTGCTAAACCCGGGGTTGTGAGTTCAATCCGCGAGGGGGCCATTTAGGGATCTGGGGCAAAAATGTCTGGGGATTGGTCCTGCTTTGAGCAGGGGGTTGGACTAGATGACCTTCTGAGGTCCCTTCCAACCCTGATATTCTATGACTGTATGATCACTACCAATTGAGCCCGACAATCTAGCCAGCTTTCTATCCACCTTAGTCCATTCATCCACCCCACACTTCTTTAACTTGCTGGCAAGAACACTGTGGGAGACCGTATCAAAAGCTTTGCTAAAGTCAAGATATATCCCATCCACCACTTTCCCCATATCCACAGAGCCACTTATCTCATCATAGAAGGCAATCAAGTTGGTCAGGCATGACTTGCCCTTGGTGAATCCATGCTGACTGTTCCTGATCACCTTCCTCTCCTCCAAGTGCTTCAAAATGGATTCCTTGAGGACCTGCTCCATGATTTTGCCAGAGACTGAAGTGAGGCTCTTTCTTCCCTTTTTAAAATATAGGCACTAATTTGCCTTTTTCCAATTGTCTGGGACCTCCCCCTATCGACATGAGTTTTCAGAGATAATGGCCAATGGCTCTGCAATCACATCAGTCAACTCCCTCAGCACACTTGGATGCATTAGATCTGGACCCATGGACTTGTGCATGTCCAACTTTTCTAAATAGTCCTTAACCTGTTCTTTCACCACTGAGGGCTGCTCACCTCCTCCCCATACTGTGCTGCCCAGTGCAGTAGTCTGGGAGCTGACCTTGTCCATGAAGACAGAGGCAAAAAAAGCATTGAGTACTTCAGCTTTCTCCACATCATCTGTCATTATGTTGCTTCCCTCATTCAGTAAGGGTCCCACGCTTTCCCTGACCACCTTCTTGTTGACATACCTGTAGAAACCCTTCTTGTTACCCTTCACATCCCTTGCTAGCTGCAACTCCAGTTGTGCCTTGACCTTCCTGATTACACCCCTGCAGGCTCTAGCAATATTTTTATACTCCTCCCTAGTCATCTGTCCAAATTTCCACTTCTTGTAAGCTTCCTTTTTGAGTTTAAGCTCACCGAAGATTTCACTGTTAAGCCAAGCTGGTCGCCTGCCATATTTGCTATTCTTTCTGCACATCGGGATGGTTTGTTCCTGTGCCCTCAATAAGGATTCTTTAAAATACAGCCAGCTCTCCTGGACTCCTTGCCCCCTCATATTAGCCTCCCAGGGGATCCTGCCCATCAGTTCCCTAAGGGAGTCTAAGTCTGCTTTTCTAAGTCTGTGTTTTGCTATTCTCGTTTCTTCCTTTTGTGAGGATCTTGAACTCAACCATCTCCTGGTCACTGTTGCCTACGTTGCCACCCACTTCTACTTCCCCTACCAATTCTTCCCTGTTTGTAAGCAGCAGGTCAAGAGGAGCATGGCCTCTAGTTGGTTCCTCCAGCACTTGTACCAGGAAGTTGTCCCCAACACCCTCCAAATCCTTCCTGGATTGTCTGTGCATTGCTGTATTGCCCTCCCAGCAGATGTCAGGGTGATTGAAGTCCCCCATTAGAACCAGGGCCTGTGATCTGGAAACTTCTGTTAGTTGTCTGAAGAAAGCCTCGTCTACCTCATCCTCCTGGTCTGATGGTCTATAGCACACGCCCACCATGACATCACCCTTGTTGCTCTTGCCTCTAAATGTAACCCAAAGACTCTCAACAGGCTTTTCTCCAGTTTCATACTGGAGCTCTGAGCAATCATACCACGCTCTTACATACAGTGCAACTCCTCCACCTTTCCTCCCGTACCTGTCCTTCCTGAACAGTTTATACCCACCCATGTCAGTGCTCCAGTCGTGTGAACTGCCCCACCAAGTTTCTGTTATTCCAGTCACGTCATAGTTCCTTGATTGTGCCAGGGCTTCCAATTCTTCCTGCTTGTTTCCCAGGCTTCTTGCATTCGTGTACATGCACCTAAGATAACTATCCGATTGCCCTGCTTTCTCAGTATGAATCAGGAGGCTTCCCATCTTGTACCCTCCTCCTTGTGTTTCCTCCCGGTATCCCACTCCCCCACTTACCTCTGGGTTTAGGTCACCATCCCGCGGCAAACCTAGTTTAAAGCCCTCTTCACTAGGTTAGCAAGCCTTCCTGCAAAGATGCTCTTCCCTCTCTTTGTTAGGTGGATCCCATCTCTTCCTGGCAGTCCTTCTTCCCGGAACAACATCCCATGGTCAAAGAATCCAAAGCCCTCTCTCCGACAGCACCTGCGTAACCACGCATTCACCTCCACAATTCGATGTTCCCTACCTGGGCCTTTTCCTTAAACAGGGAGGATGGACATGACTTGCGCCTCAAACTCCTTTATCCTTCTTCCCAGAGCCACACAGTCTGCAGTGATCCGCTCAAGGTCATTCTTGGCAGTATCATGGGTGCCCACGTGGAGAAGTAGGAAGGGGTAGCAGTCCGAGGTCTTGATTAGTCTCAGCAAACACTCCGTCACATCCTGGATTCTAGCTCCAGGCAAGCAGCACACTTCTCGAGTCTCCCGGTCTGGTCGGCAGATGGATGACTCCGTCCCCTTAGGAGGGAGTCCCTGACCACAACCACCCATCTCCTCCTCTTGGGAATGGTGGTCATGGAACCCCCATCCCTAGGACAATGCATCCCATGCCTTCCTGCCGATGGGGTCTCCTTCTGATCCCTTCCCTCAGAGGGCTCTTCCAAATCATTCTCCGCTGTAGTACCTGTGCAGAGAGCCTGAAAACAGTTTCTTACCTCTATCTGCATTGGGGGTACATGAGTTCTCTGTCTTCTTCTGGAGGTCACATGCTGCCAATTTTCTTCCCTCCCCTGCTCTGCACATTCTGATTCTTCATCATGTTTTGCTTCCGGTACCAAACCCTGACTTCTATCCAGAAAATCTTCATTTTCTCTGATGCAGTGCAGGGTTGATACTTGGTTCTCTAGTCCTCTAACCTTCTCTTCCAATATGCAGACCAGCTTGCACTTCGTAGAAACGAAGTCATGTCTGTCCTCTGGGAGAAAGACAAACATGGCACATTCTGAGCAGGTGACAACAGCTGATCGCTTGCTCACTATCCATGTCTTCCTTCTAAGAGGCTCCTCTGATGTTGTATGTACTGCTCACAGGAGCCTGAAAGGCAGAAACACTCTGTGCGAACGCCCTCTGTTTGCCTGTCCCCTGTTCGCTGCTCACTCGGTTCACAACTGGCTGCCTTTTTATAAGGCTGCTGGCTCGAAGCAGGTGGCCC